TCGATTGCCGCATCGCCGACCATCAACAGACTAAAAATGACTGCATCACGGACATTATGTGAGAGCCAGGCTACTATGGTACCCCAGGGTACCGCCATAAGGTTCATATGTGTAATGCATGTGTGACGTCATCATACCTGAATAAAATTAATACGGTGGTGTCCAGCAAATCCTTGGCAGCACCGAAGATTCCTCTTTACGAGAGTGTAAGCCTGTATATCTGTGTGCATGTCTTTGTATTTTGTGTGCGAGCATGCATATGTGGTTAGTGGTGCTGCAGTGGTTAACGCACTGCACTACGCAACCATCGACCCAAGTTTGATTCCAACTCAGGTCCTTGGCCTCCCCTAGGTCATTTCAGCCTCAAATGAGTACCTGGTGTGATGTGTAAACACTCACTCGGGAGACAAAGGCGGCCGTTCTTGGTGCTGACCACCCACTCCCTCGTGTGCTGCGCCCTCCTTCATAAGTGCTCACGAACAGCACTTACTCTAAAAGTCTATTAAGGGTATACCGGGGATCTTTGTCTTTTGTACGAGCATATTATGTGTTCTCGTCATCATATCATCTACTTATGTCTTGATATAACACGTTGCCCGTCATGCAGCGGCATGGCTCGGCTTGTGTAGTTGAAAAACAACCCGTGCTTTTAAAGCCAAGCAAGTTTGGCTCAGTTCAGCCCGGGCACGGCTCGTTTGGGAAGTGGAAAAGGGTTGTGTATGTGGTCCATGGTTTAGCTCACACGGAGTATGTGCAAGCAGTGCCGATGTCATTTTAGCACTGAAGGAATTCTCGGATTTCTATTATGTTCTGCTGTTAAATTAATCTCGTTACCTACGTATTCGAATGACTTTCTGTCGTTGCACGCTTTTATTTTGGCTGTTTGATTTCTCCTGCAGCCAAGAGAACGCACTTCAATGCGTGCATAACATTTACATTGTGCCGTAACGCAGATTTACAACTTCAGTAATAGCTTATGTGGAGGAGAAAAACAACATCTTTAGTTTGTGACATTCTTGGACATTGTTTTGGTGTGTTGTGCATGGACATCCTGGCTACTGCTGCCGTTGCTCGTACCCTCATGAATACATGCAGACCACGGCGTGTACATAAATTACGGTGTTTTCGTCTGCGCAATATAAATAAATCTCACTTGTCTCGAGCTAGGAAATGCGCTTAGTCGTAAATAATGATCGGCTCACTGATTCGTGCTCATGTAATTCTCACAGCCCACCTTTGTGGTGTGGTGGTGGGTTGCAAACAATACAGATGAAATATGCGGTCGTGCAGCACCGTTGTATGTATGTATTCTAGGACAGGTAATAATTAACTACAAATTATAATCTACAATGAACCCAGCGTGACCTGGCTGATGATGCTGGCGATGTGACCTCCAGTCCAGTGGCACTTGTGGCACTTGTGGGAACAGAGCTGAGACATGTTTTACTCCCAACTTTTTTCGTGTCATTCATTTTGTTCAGTATCAAAACCAAGATCGACAGAGGCGTCGATTCGACATTTCACCTGAGAGCCCAGCTCTGGTACATATTGCACGAGTCGTGATGCCAGCTGTATGTTGATCGAGCAGATGTGAACTACTTTATTGACCTCACGCTTGCACGGAGGGTTATTTGACTGCGCTTCATGCTGGTGTAGTGGCAGCTTATTGAAGGCAGGAGCATATACGTGGGGACATAATGAAGTACAGCACAACGATAGGTTTTGCTGCACCGCCCACCACATAGCGCCACAGCAGCCTTAAGACGACCTGTGTGCGTGCGGGAATGGTGGTCGCCTATCCACGCACTGCCCAGCCTCAAATCTGCTCAGCTTCCAAAATCTGACGAGGTCGGGCGCATACCAGGTGATTTGGTCATAGACGAACTCGCTTAATGAGTGGTCTCAGACCACTCATTAAGCAACTGCCCATCGCTCAGATCATTTGCTTGGCAGCAGAGTTTCAGATATCCACCTGTCCGCTCCTGAAGCCGTCCACTGACTCACTCGCTGAGCTGCATTGGCTTCTGGTTGCTGAATGAATACATTATAAGGTCGTACTAATTACACACAAGTGCTTGCCACAAATGAACCACAATACCTTGCTGATCTCGTCAAAGAACATAACCTGAAATCCGGCTTTTGGCTAGTCTTACCTTATTTTAACGGAATTTATATAGCGCCTTAATTAAGGCGCTTTACAAATACTTAACAACGGTCCATATCAATCTAATGGTGGATATGAGGTGAATGAAATAGATGAGAGGAAGTAATGGGCAAATCTGTGATGCATGAATTCGGCGAAACTTCAATTGATGACAATGAATGATGATGAATGAACAAAGACGGTCACTGCATCACACGCTTTCAGATGTGCTTCTACGGCCGTTTTAACGCTCTTCCGATGTTAGGAAGCCACTGGAGCATTTCTAAATCTAGATTGAAAACTTATTTTTGTGTTTAGTTTGTTGGCCTTCCCCCGCACCTCCAATTCGCACGGTTGGCTATGTATGGTGTAAAAGAAGTTCAACATATATGCATATTAACGCTGCTGATCAACACACCGCCATACGAAAGAGGACATGTATTGCATTGGATGGTATGGCATGGCGGTGCAGATGTGTTTTTATCCGTGGACATAAACGTTTTGGGCTGCTTCTTGTTACCTTGTTTCTGCTTTTCATATATTTTTTATGGACAGCTGTGCTGCTTGCCCTTTACATGTTTTGTTCTCTGTTTGGAAATGCAATAGAACCCTTTATGTATTATTTAATAGAGTTTTTAAAATATATATTTTTTCTTTTTTGTGCTGCTACTGGCTATAGACATTTGTTAGAGGTTAAGAGCAACACATATCCACTCAAAATCGAATTCCCTTTTCTAATGATCACTGCTCATTGAATCATATATAATCAACATATATAGAATAATCATGGCATTCGAAATTTAAATTGTTAACGAGCAAATTAGGTCACGGATTTTTGTTAAATTTACGTAGTTTTTACTGGACTGGAAAAACACGTAGATTTTCTGAAAATAATAATTTTTTGACCCTTTGCTAATCCACTACTCTATGAAGGCCTCCCTATGCTATGTCGATCCTGGGATTTGCGTGACCATACTTCACCATGCTGGTCTGTGCGGTTGGGTGAATGAAGAGGACAACCCAGGACTGATTTAGATATTGCATGCCACTGATGATGGCCGTGGCCAGGTTTTGAACTCAGGTCACCAGGTTTATAGTGGAGTGCACTAAACGCTTCAGCCACTGCTCTCCTAAAACACATCTTGAATACTTTACCGTAAGTGATGCCTTTTATGTTCATTAATATAAATTGAAGACTGTATATTGTCGAATAGCTGAGTTTAAGAAAAAACATCATTTTATTCATATCGTCCCTCACATCATACATTGCAATATCCTAACATTCTGGACGGTATTACCAGGGGCATCAACGTTATCAGGCACACCAGACTCATCAGAGCAGGATGGGGGGAGGAGGATGGGATTTTTCTTTGGGGTGGGGGTAAAGGGAAGGGCGTTGGCCAGGTCATTGTCATTGCCATTATGGGCTCAGGTATTTAAGACTGTTATAAGGTTTTAGAATGGACCCCATGTACCTGTGTATTCTTCTTCCTTGTCTGTGAGCTTATAGCTTCGATGCTCCAGTGCTGATATTGAGTTGAATGAATACAGCCATTGAGTGTCGGAGGGGGGGGGGGGGTTCGTGACTCTTCCACGTACTCAATATGGTTTTTCTGTTTAACACGTAACCCAAAAAATCTATTATGAATGGTTTTCCTGGCTGCTATATCGAATATCTTGAGTTTTAAGTCCATGTTTCAGTCACTTGTAATAACTGCACAAAAAAATCCCATCAAATTCAATGAGATTTTTCACTTAAATTGGAAACACTAGCTGGGAAAATGTAATATTTGGCTTTGACTGCCTTGCAGACACGTACTGTGTCTAGAAGCAGGGCATGTGGGGAGCTGAAGCTCCCCTAGTGTGGATAAAAGGCAATTGAGCAAGTCTGAGCAGTAGTTCCGCCATATAAAATTCCACGGGCCATTCTCTAGCACGCTGGTTACAGGAGTTACGATTGGACATTTCTTGGGTGTTAAGACATGCCATTGATAGCGCAGTTGGAATATAATTTGGATAAAGACAAAAAAGGTCAAATTAAATCCTGAGCAATGTTAAGAGTAATCTTTGGTAATTCCTAATGTCACATTCAACATGTTAGTTCCAAAAAGTAAAGAGTAAAAAACTATAAAAATATCATTTTGACATCTCTCCAAAAGCATATTTGGAATATTGTTATACATTATTGAGAGAAAAAAAAACAAAATAAATTTGCTCAGTATCTTGGCGGTTCACAACTTCACATTCAAAGTGTTATGTCCAAAGTTTTAAGAAAGAAAAACGTATGCACCTGTTTTTTGAAAGTCTGCGATACATTTGCTGGGAGGGGGGGGGGAACCCTACATTGCTTTTATAAAATTAAGAATTGGAGACGTTAAATGTTTGAGCTTATTGAGTGCTGCCCAGCATTGCAATGAATCTCTCATGTGGCTAGCTCTTTACCAATGTTATCTGAGTGTCTGGTGGAAGTGGCAATCGTGTGCCGATAACACCACCTTGGGACATAAACAAACCACCAGCCATCATCCACTCTAGCGACAGGTCCTGCCCATTCCACTTTATTAACAGTTAATATTATATCTCTACCGTGTGACGGTTCTCCGATCCCTGTGTCCATTTTTCTGTCTCTTAAGTGTAATTCCAAGCGTGCTGTTTTAACACTCAATATGATATGATGTCCCTAACTTGTATATATATTTTTTACATTGCTTCATTTGGCATCTGTTTAAATGAAGCCTTGTACTTGTTCCTTGGCAAGACTCTCATGAATGAGTCTTGAGACTCAGTAAACAAGCAACTTGAGTAAACAAGCATAATTATAATAATATAATCATAATAAATCCACTGTCTGTCACAGTTTGTGCCGAGGCGTACAACCCAGACGAGGAAGAGGAGGACACGGAGCCGAAGGTACGGAGCATCGACACGACACACGTGCTCTAGATGCATGCGCTGTAGACGCACAGTGTCTGTGGGGCACGCACCCACCCGTGGTGATCCAGAACTGTGGAGGCAGGGGTTGGTGGATCAAGCAGAGATTTGTGAAAACTCCCAAACACTTGCTGACTGATGGTTCCGTGAATTCTCACAATTCACGGACCTGAATCGACTCAAGAGTTGATTCTTGTTTTTGACGTTAAGTTGAAAAGTCATGCACCTCCAGAGGCTGCACGGGCGATGTGATCCTTTTCCATTGAACCTATACGGATAACAACAAAACACGCACTCAGACTCTTGCACACACGATTTGCTACATGCAGTGGTGAGAATGCGACGGTATACGACTGTACGTCATTGCGGCATTTCTCAGAATACCAGCCCACGTGCGTCCCACCGGCACTGTTCAGTATGACTCTGATGCCTGTGCTGCAATGCTTCCGCAGAGGGAAAACGGCAGTGACCGTGGGCTGAAGCAGGACAGGTTTCGAGCACTGTGTCGTCAAATTAAGAATCAATATTAACGAATCAATGCATTGTTATACCTCTAAAAATAATGGAACACTCTCATCTGTGTCCACGAGACAGTCTTTACCTGAAGTTCACTATTACCTTAAGTGACAGGACAGAGGATTCACTGGAGTTTTACCATCATACATTTGGCATTAAAAGTGATCTGTGAATTCATGCCCGTGCCGAATCCAAAATGATTGAGGCAATTGAAATTCCTCGCACATAAAAGCACAATTGATTAATGTGGAATCCGACTGCTATGTGTATTTATTTTTAACAAGTGCTTACGTCTGCTCGACTTTTATATGTAACCAAGTTTCCAGTGCTGAATGGCAGACTTGTGAACGTCATTGTTTTGAAAACTGGCTCTGGTATTTATTGATTTTTCTGTGTGGTCCAAGGCTGATGCAGAATCACTTGTAAAAATAATTCCCTGTCTGGCCCCTATCTGCTTCATGCCACGTCGGATAGACGCAGCACATTCCTCATAAAACAGGCTCCATTTGAGCAAGTGAAAAAATTGCTCTTGTACAATAATTGAATGCTGAGCATGACATATGTGTTGAATATATAAGAGTGGTAGCGCAGTGGTTAGTGTGCTGCCACTGTGAACGCGCCTACCCGAGTTAAATTCCCGGCCACAGCTGCCATTACTGGATGGTGGTATCTGAACAGGTCCTCCCCCCTTCATCAACAAGCACTGAAGTACGGTCAAACAACCCCCATAACTGACACAACATGAGGAGGCCTTCATCCAGCAGTAAATTGACAAAGCGCTGAAAATTAGGACACAGTAGTGGTGCAATAGTTACCCACACAGCTATGGTCTGAGTTTGATTCCTGGCTATGGCTCACATGCGGGGTGAGTGATACGTGAAACACTTTTATTAACCTGCACTGACCAGCATGGTGAAGTATGATTCAGTTACCCCGAAGTGAGGCAGTGTGGGGAGGCTTTCATCCACCAGTGGATTAATGAAGGGCTGTACATTATTATTACTTTTTAATTTATTTACATTCAATCCTGCCTGGTTTCCACCATACCAAAGTGAAAGTGCATGCTCTTTACAATTACCTTCAATGCCGCTGTGTTGTAATGAGATGTTGCTGATATCCATTTAATTTCCTAAATCAATATCAAATCACGGATATTGATTGCCGTTTCCCCACCGGTCTGAGAGTATAATTTACACGCCTACAAATCTCTGAATTCTCATCTCGTGCTGCCAAAGATTGCTCACTCTTGTCTGCTTCTGCACTTAAACACTCCTAAAAAAAGAATACCCCAAAAAGAGATGAAGGGGGTTGCTCAAACAGTTCATCATAATGGCCGTTGTGTCGCACGCTGAGACTCTGCGGGACGCTGAGACTCTGCGGGACGCCGAGACAGGAATCTCAATCAATTGGAATTTTTATTTATCAGTGTTATCACCCACATTGGTTGTATTACTTACAGTACTGGGGACTAAAAATAGCTTTTTCATCATATGGTTATTGTACATTTGGAATGTAATTAAGGAAGAAGAAAAACATTTTTTATTCATTTGCCATTAATATTTCAATGGCACTTTGGGATTGTAGCTCCTCACTTCCTCTTGGTTGACCCTGCTCACCAGGTTCTCTGAGCTGGAGAACCTCCTGGGTGGGGGGGTGGGGCAAGGGAGCGGCCACGGCCTCGTGGCTGCGTCAGATCGACCGCTACCTTCGAGACTCTGGGATAGGAAGGGAGCTCGCTTCGGGGCCTTTGCCAGGAGGGACCCCTAGGAAGGAGGCTCGATTTGGGGCTTGTTGCTACGCACAGGCTCGGCGTATGCTCCCACAAATTATGTCATTGAAGTTTATAAATAAATACAAAAAATAACTGCAACTTACAGTTGTCCGAATAGGACGCGAGCTACTTAACTTTAACTCCTGCTGTCTGTCAGCCGCATGCTGCCGGCGTCGTCCGCACGCCCGTCGCTTGTAAATCGACCGCCGAGTTGTCCCGAATGGATCGCTTTAACGCAGCTTGCGCTCCAGCGAGTGGCTGATGGAAATCGACTTGCAAACGCATCGGCGGCAGGCCCTCCTCGTTAATTACGAACGGCGGCGCGTCGGTCTGCGCCCTTATGGCCCAATCAGGGCAGGCGATCAGTGGCGTGCGGCCGCTCGTAATCGCTTTGACGCTGATGACTGAGCGGACAGCCACTAAACGATGTTGAGAACGTTCGGTCGCTGTGATTTATTGCACGGCGTGGCCATTGATTGATACTTGGCTATGTACTTATATACTTCATTTTTTGCTTATTTATTTGTTGTGACTTGCTTACCCTTTTCTCTACTTTGCACTGCTATCATTTGTTTGGATTGTTTGTTGCAACTTGCTGACCCTTGCCCCTACTGGACGTTTGTGAAAAAGAGCTTCATAGCTCATCGGATTCCTCCAGGATAAATCAATATTCTGATTCTGATGTGTTTAAAAAAAGAGTATTTTCAGATTTTTGTGTTTTTAAATGCCAATTTAAGATATTTTTGTTTTTCAATTATTATGTTCAAACTGTTAAACGTTCGTAGTTTTCATTGTTTAGCTATTAAAGTGGAACATATTTTTTATTAATGGCATTTAAATGAGATAAAACATTCCTTTTCATTTTTAGTTATTTTAATTGTTAACGTTTCACATTTTTAAATGATCTAATTTCCAATCATTTCAGATGTTCATAATTTAACTGTTATCCTCGTAAAACTTAATTTTCAATTCAAACATTTGCTGCATTTAATTTATTTTAAACTACAGTTATTGTATTCGTTACATTTTAACCATCTATTAAAATAATTTTTCCAGTTTTCAATAAAAAAAGTTGTTATAATATAATTATTAGAGTCACGCTATTTTATCTCACCAAGTCGCAGGAGGATCCTGTTTTATATATTTCATCAGTGCCACGTTTAAATGAAGAGGATTAGCCTTCGTGTTTGAAGAAACTTAAGAACGTGGAAAAAAACCCACCTGGAGAAGAACACTTCGCAGTCCGCTCACGAGCCCACTCTACTTGCTTAACTGCCCTTTTCTGACCACCGCTTCGCAAGCCAGCCAGCCTGGGTGATTCACAAATCCCTGTGATCCAACAACGCTTGCCTCCAAAGCGCTTTGATCGTTTGCGTACGATGTCAAGAAACCGGCCGCTAAAGTTGCCACTGGCGGTGATGTGAAGCTCTCGTGCTCGTGTCTTTGTTCATCCATTAGTTGTGTAGCATTCTTGAAGGGGACCCCTTGCTCGTTCTCTGCAATGTCGACGTTTTTGCCTTCGTTCCATTGTTGCTGTGCTCACATGCCATGGATCTCCCTTGTAAAATAACCGGGCAACTGGCTAAACAGGACCACCCGTGTAACATAAACTGAAACACTCATACACACTAACAAAACAGGGCAAAGATCTCCCGTGTAGCCTTTAACAGAATGTTGGGGAAAGTATTGTTCGTGAGCCTGCAACACACCCAGCAGCCTTTATCTCGCCAGTGGTGAGTCGATCTAGGGGAGGCTCAGAGCCAGAACAGATAGCACTCACACTGTTTATCAGACTCTGTCTCACATACACACATTCCAATATGTAAGCAATAGTGACGTCACAGTGAAGTAATTTCCACTTCTATACGGAAATGTATCCTAATGCTGTCACATACATCAGATAATTCATCCATCTCTCATGGCCAATCTCGCCACAAGGTCGCTGGGACTCTGTTGGCAGCTCTGCTCATTATCTACCTCCACCTTGCCCACTCCTCAACCTTACGGGTCAGCTGGTAGTGGGTTTATTCCGTTCAATTCAGGAAACAAATATATATGTTATCGGATGATCTTCGATTTCGTATCGAGGCCGATGTTTGATTTTTTCGGATAAAGTTGAAAGTCGGGAGCATGTCCCTGATTGAATAGGAATCTACCACTGGGCTTCATGCGCATATATGTTCGAGTCGTAGTTGATTGTGTTTATCCAGGTGAGAACACGAGAGACCCATGAGATTGGCGTCTCGTCACCAAAGTGACAAAAGCAAACCAATAAAATCTGAACAAAAACAAAAACCACTGTATGACATGATGAATTGAATATCGACGTGATCTAATGTGGTTGTCCCGTACTGAGCCTCAGTGTACGTTTTTGTTACGTGGAGCGGTTGTGTAACGGTTAGCGCGCTGCGCAACGAACCCTCCAACCCGGGTTTGATTTCCGCTCACGGCCAATACCGGTGACTGTTATCTGAACCGGTCTGGGGCCCCTCCCCAAGGTCGAATCGGCCTCAAATGAGTGCCTTGTGCAGTGTTTAAAAATCGCCACTAGGGAGACAAAGGCATGGTGCTGGCCACCCACCCCCTCGTTTGCCGTGCTGGCCTTTATAGGTGCTTACTAACAGCACTTGTCTTGGTTTTGACTGCGTATTGTATCCACAGGTGGTCCATCCCAAGACAGATGAACAGAGAAACAGGCTCCAAGAGGCCTGCAAGGACATCCTGCTTTTCAAAAACCTGGACCAGGTAATTTATTGTCTCCCGTTCGAACAGACATTAAAAAAATATTTCTGTTTATATTTCAAGTCCTCACTGAACGCGTGTCCACACAATGCATTATTGCAATAATGTAGTTCTTTCATCCATAAGCGAACACTTTTCGTACAGAGCGGAATGCTCCCTTAAAAACACGGAATGTGCCCATTCTGACGCATAATGTGCACCATTACAACGTGGATTTTCAGCGGTCGACGACGAACTACTTTCCTGAGCTGCGCGGCTGAGTGGTATGGTACAGTACGCGGAAAGATACAGTACGCTGATTGATACAGTAACGCTGCGGCATACCCTCAGTTATTTGTCCCGCCATCGCACTGTGTGTGGTAGTCTAGTACATTATATCACGCCAAACTTTTATTGTTACTTTACTTGAAGGGGAATTGTTTTTGCTTGACGCAGCAATACTGCACTAAACGTGGACTCACTGCACATGTAATGTTGGTGTTCGAGCCAGGCCCAACGTAAGTTAATATCCACAGGTCCACAAAGTAGGGGCACCACTTTCCCACCTGCTCTGCCACATGAGCGTCATGTTTGCCACATTGATTCTCAGAGATGGAGTTTAGCCATATTAAGCATAAAAACCTAATTGATGTCACGAGTCATTGGTGACCGGGCTGACATCCACTCACTCTAGTCACTATACTTGAGAACCCAGTTTAATCAGAATGTGGTCTATATGAGGCTATGGGTCTCTATAGAGGTTTGTGGGTTTCCATACAAGTCTGTCAGTCTCTGTGGAAGTCACTGGTGACTGGTCTAAGACCATCAACTGGTCAACCTTGAGAAACCTGGCTTTAATCACAGGCAACTGCCACCTGGATTTAGACCCAAAATCTCAGCGGTGCCGGCTAAGAGCTCAGACCTTCGAGGCAGCTGCCTACCTTCAACAGATATTTGTGAAGGGGGGGGCACTTGTCGGCTGTATCAGGGTGTGGTGGGAGGGTAGGGTAGGTAAGGGCTGGACTAGTGTCTGACAGAGGTGTGATTTCGTCAAAGGCATTGACCACGATAGCCTCCTTAACCCCCTTTAGCCTCTTAACCCCACTGGGACAGTTAATCAAACGATCGAGGCAAACGCAGTTCGCCTCGATCAATCTCGTCGCCGCCGTTCTTATTATAGCTTTTCTTCAAACGGGCATGGTCATTAGGATCCATTGCACTTCCCCACCCCCTCCCCCCAACAAACCCCCCTTTCCCGCTCCTATGAAAGCAGCTTTGCATCCGGCTTCAAATGCGCGACACCGGGGATGCTGACGCAAATTCGCTGTGGAGATTACCGCAGAGCGATTGGGGGATGGTGTGGAGGGGCGCGGGGGGGTGACTCCTCGAACCTGCGCGGCTCTTTTGACATTTGGCTGAAAGGGCCTTTGCCCTTCCTCGCTTACGAGACTTCATTAGTCCGCCAATCTGCACGAGGCATTGCGCTGGGCTGGCGGAAACGTTCGAATTGGCTCGTGAATTTTTTATAAATGTCACGCTTATTTGAAGTCTGGTAATTAAGTTGCTTTTAGTTAAATATTTCAGGCGTTTCACTGGCGGTGTTAATTATTTAAGACAAAAATGGTGGACGTCATATTTTTTTTTATCTTTCTGCCTTCAGTGAAAAGCGTTCTTTGAAAAGTTATTTTTTTCTCCGCTTGCTATAGTCGTTGGTAGGTGCAGTGGTTCGTGCTCTGCGCTATGAACCAAATTAGTCGCAAGCGAGGTCTGGGTTCCTGCACCTGGCCACAGCCGTCATCAGTGACTTGGGATATATAAATCAGTCCTGTGTTGTCATCTTAATTCCCCAAACCCCACCGATCAGCTTTGTGAAGTATGGTCACAAATCCCCATGATGACATGGCATGGGGAGGCAGTGGATTAGCAAAGAACTGTAAATTGTCAGTCATTTGGAAAAATAAAAAAAATTCGTGAAAAATTCTGTGAGATGACAGCATATCGGGACTTTTGAATGACATACCACAACGTATCATGCAAGCAATACTTCCTGGGAATATAGCAGGTGTTGTAGGTTTGGGCTACAGAGATGGAAGTACAGAAATTGATTCTTGAATCCATTTGTGTAGAGATTTGAGCGCTATCCCCCCCTTCGTGTCCGCAGTGGCCAAACATCCCAGTGCAAGACCCTCGCAAAAAAGAGGCTTGAAACTCGGTGAGGCTGTCCCGAATCAATAAATTATATTACTATTTTTAGCCTTATAATAATTCAACAAGTATGCAAAGAAGCACAGATAGGTGTTTTCTTGAAATTACATTGACAGACAGAAGGAGGAGGAACAACAACACATGCGATAGAGAACACAAGAAAGTTAGAGACATTGTATCGACTGTTGAGATAAGTTAGTGGGCTTTGACTCTTTAGATAAGGAAGCGGGCTTCGGTCAGGAAACTTGGCTTGAACGGTTGATGACTTTTGGGCAATCATAACAATGGAGTGGCAGCCAAGGGAGGGAATCGTGCCCTGGAGGATAACCGCCGTGGGGATGAAGCTATTAAATCTGCTTGTGTGCTGAAGCTCGATGGATTGTATGGTCGCAATGGCTTGCGGTGGGGGGGGGGGGGGAGGCTTTTATCCAGCAGTGGATTAGTCATGACTGTCGATGTGTTCACTTGACCAATCAACATTTTTCGTTTGTTACTTGTGCAACATTTCTTAAGGGCCTTGTTGTCCTCGTTTGCAATATTAACGTGTTTTTGTTGCTACTGCTGTGTTCATGTACCAGCACGGATTTAAATTGTAAAATAGCCAGACATCTTGCTAAACGAGACCATCTGTGTAACAAATAAAATAAAATTCAGTCACCCGCAGGTGTGACAATTACTCCCATCCATCCCCACTAAAAAAATCGATTGTTCTTACATATGGTTTCATTATGTTCTCGAGATACTTCAGAATCAGAAACGGTTTTAATCGCCATGTAAGTTAGCACAAACAAAGGAATTCACTATGGCGGGACGGTACATACATTGAACAAGTAGGAATCTTAACTTATATAAAAGGTATACACTCTAACTATACTAACGTTACAAAGTATAAGTAATACCAAAGGGCTAAAATCTTTAAAATTATGAATAAGTAGACCTTATAAAATGCGAATGTAAAATGTTAATTAGCCGTATTAAACAATCTTAAAATACAAAAATACAAATAAGATTACACGTTGTAAGTATGGAAAGGTGTAATTATGTAGATAAAATGTTATAGTAAGTGTAACAGTCATTTTAAGTGTAAAAGTCATTTTAAGCCCTTGGCCTTGTTGAGGAGGCCAACAGCAGATGGGAAAAAACTGTTTTTATGACGTGAGGTTTTGGTCTTGATGGACCGCAGCCTTCTGCCGGAGGGGAGTAGCTGGAACAGAGAGTATCCAGGGTGCGAGGAATCGTCCGCAATCTTCCTCGCTCGCTTCAGGGTTCTCAAAGTGTGCAGGTCCTCAAGGGTTGGTAGATTACAGCCAATCACCTTCTCAACAGTGCGGATGATACGCTGCAGTCTGCTCTTGTCCTTGGCAGTTGCAGCAGCGTACCAGACGGTGATGGAGGAGGTGAGGATGGACTGAATGATAGCTGTATAGAAGCACACCATCATTGTCTTTGGCAGATTAAATTTCTTCAGCTGCCGTAGGAAGTACATTCTCTGTTGAGCTCTCTTGATAAGGGAGCTGATGTTCAGTTCCCACTTGAGGTCCTGGGAAAGAATAGTGCCCAGGAAGCGGAAGGACTCAACATTGGTGACTGGGGAGTCGCACAGGGTGATGGGGGTGAGTGGGGCTGTATTCTTCCTGAAGTCCACAACCATCTCCACGGTCTTAAGAGCATTAAGCTCCAGGTTGTTCTGGCTACACCAGGTCACCAGGTTGTCAGCTTCCCTCCTATAGTCAGACTCATCCCCATCAGAGATTAGCCCAATGAGCTAATCTCTTGCATTTCGCCCAGGAGAGTCCCTCAATGTTAAGTTGGAGGATCCTTGTCCCAGGGCCTATCTGGTGTATTGTTTGGCCCAGAACAGGGCCATTGGCGTGGCTTGTGTTGTTGTTGCTCTGGAGACTGTGAGGTTAGTGATCGATGCTAGGTTGCCGCGTTGATAGCATTTGTCGTGATTTCCCACTTAACAGAGTGGGCTGCCATCTTCTACTCCCGATGATAGCGTATAATGAACTACGGGGACAGTGCTCATTTGTGAGCTCAGAGTCTCACGTGTAACCCGGTGCTAGTGAGGCTTTGACTGCAGGCATGTTGGTTGCGCGATCATACTGCGTGATAGGACGTGATAGGACGTGATACTGCCCAAACAAAGGGTTGTTCAGTGACGGTGCCATTTTAGGACTGATTCGCCATCAAGGGAGCAGTGAATTGAAACCCAGATAGGCGAGTGAGCTGTGGCAGGTTACAACTGTAAACTGCTTTCGACCTAATAAACTTTTAGTTAAAAGGAACATCTTATTTCTATAAAAGGGAAATTGGTGAATGTGTGTCTGTTCAAAATGTTAAGCATACTTCCCGACATGCAACAAACTTGAAATTTGGCATGTGGGTAGCTTCCAGACTGTACACAATGCAAAAAGTGTAAAAATATACTTTGGTATTTTGGGGGGCGGGGGGGGCCCAATAATGCATATATTTTTCATGGCAAGTGAGCGGTGACGTCACATCTCTGATGTCACCCGCATGCGGCAGCGTCACGCAGTGTGCCTGCTGACGTTACGCATCCCCCCCCACCCTCTGCGTAGGCCGTGTAGTAAAGCTAGTAAATATATAAATACAAGTTACAGTTTGGACAGTGGCCCTTATTTATAGCAGATGATCGAGGCACATTTCCCGAAACGTCTATTATATATATATTTATTTCCAAATAAGATCACACAGTAAATTTTGACTTAAAACTTTAGTTTTTTATTATTATGTTTCTATCTATGTGACTTTACCGAAAGAACCAAAGAATAAGATCACACAGTGTTTTGACCAAT